TTAACTATCTCAATCTCTTCACCATCCATACTGATGCTGCCAATTGGCCCAGTGGTGAGAATTTTTGTTTTCTTGATATTGGGTTTCAATCCATACTGAAGACTGCAGTCCTTGACCTTCTGCAGCAAGAGCTCCAGGTCCTCTTCAGTTTCAGCGAGCAGGGTTGTGTCATCCACATAACGTAGATTATGGATGAGATGGATTGATACAGTGACTGGGGCAATGTGGATCGGTGTATCAGAATTAGTGAGACTGGCTCAGGACAGGACAGGGTTCAGAGCTGCTGCATTTAGGGTCACTATCTGGTGCAGGCCATGGTCTTTTCAATCACTTGTTATGCATCGGAGAGCTGGACAACGACCAAGGAGGATAGGAGAATTGATACTTTTGAGCTTTGGTGTTGGAGAAGAGTGTTGAAGGTGCCATGCACTGCTAAGAGAACAAACAGATTCATCCTGGAGAGGGTTAAACCAGGCTGCTCCTTGGAGGCAAGGGTTCTGAGACTTCATCTGACATACTTTGGTCATGTTGTAAGGAGAAACCAGTCCTTGGAGAGGGACATCATGCTTGGGAGGGTGGAGGGCAGGTGCAGGACGGGAAGGCCCTCTGGGAGATGGATTGATTCGGTGACTGGGGCAATCAGGATGAGTGTGGCGGAGGCAATGAGATTGGCACAGGACAGAGCAGAGTTTAGAGCTGTTGTACATAGGGTCGCTATAAGTCGCAAGTGACTCAACGGCACATAACAACAACAACATGTGTTGCAGGTGGCTCAACAGCATTTAACATCAACAACACAACTACTAATTCTTTTCTTTTCCAATCATAATATATGAATTGTTGTTGTTATATACTGTAAATGCCAAGCTGACTCATAATTGACCCAATAGTGGGTTTTCAGAAGCAGTAAACAAGGGAAGTGATTACCCATCTTTCTCCCACAGAGCAATTGAGTTGGTAGATTTGAGCCACTTGCCTTTGAGTTAAGAGTTTGGTTCCTTATCATTAAGCCACTGGGCCTTCTTCATAGATGAATTGAGGAAATAACAAATAAAATATGAGAGAGGATATACAGAGTTGTAGAAAAGAGGACAAGAGTAGCTGGAAATATTTAAGCAGATAGGAATAACTAATTAATATCCAATACCTTTTAAAGAAGCATATTGATACTGAAGTTATAATTAAGAGAATTACGAAAAACTGCTGTTATTTGACTCATAAGACTTTAAAAGTATTGCTGTCT